GATCTGATGGTTTTATAGGGGACTTCCCCCTTTGCTGGGCACTCGTTCTTCTCTCTCCTGCTGCCATGTGAAGAAGGACATGTTTGCTTCCCCTTCTGCTATGATTGTAAGTTTCCTGAGGCATCCTCAGCCCTGAGGTACTGTGAGTCAATTAAATCTCTTTCATTTATAAATTACCCAGTCCCAGGCAGTCCTTTATAGCAGTGTGAGAACAGACTAATACACATCCCTTCTGAATTACATATACCCTTTCCATATGGGGGTTAATGGCGAGGGGATCCACCATCTTGTTTCACTGTTGCTAGAGACACGGACATGGCTTCTATTCACAAGTTGCTATTAAATGTTACTTTCTAAGAAAAAAATTCTCAGGCTAGGATTTCTGCCCTACCTATTTCAGTGTATCTTCCGAGTCTAGCACAGTGCCAGCCTGCTAGTTACAACTCAATAACTGAATCATTGCATGAATTCTTATATTAGCTGTGATGGTCAACTATCGAGTATGAAGGCTCAATACTAATCTTGGGCTGAGTGCCTCTGCAGTCTGTATGTTCAGCATATTCCAGGCCTCATCCTAAAGAATATGGCAATTCAATCTATTGTATTATAGCTGTCTTTACTTGCTGTTTTGTTTGTAATTCATTTTGTAGTTACTTCTTATGTTGAATGTCATACAAAGCCTATCTTCAGTTTATCTACTAACATTAGCTCTTCCACATATGGTAGTTGAAATACCTAGAACTGTAGAAATCTCTTTCAATTTTGTAAACACATATTATTTCAGAACAAATAAAGAGGCCGGGTGCGGTGGCTCATGCCTGTAATCCCGGCACTTTGGGAGGCTGAGGCAGGTGAATCACAAGGTCAAGAGATTGAGACCAGCCTGGCCAACATAGTAAAACCATGTCTCTACTAAAAATACAAAAAAAATTAGCCGGGCATGGTGGCATGGTGGCATGGTGGCGCATGCCTGTAGTCCCAGTTACTTGGGAAGCTGAGGCAGGATAATTGCTTGAACCTGGAAGGGTGCAGTGAGCTGAGATCGCGCCACTGCACTCCAACTTGGGCAACAGAGTGAGACTCTGTCTCAAAAAAAAAAAAAAAAAAAAAGCTGGGTGCTGTGATGCACACCTGTAATCCCAGCACTTTGGGAGGCTGAGATGGGCAGTTCAGGAGGTCAGGAGTTCAAGACCAGCTTGGCCAACATAGTGAAACCTTGCCTCTACTACAAATACAAAAATTAGCTGGGCATGGGGGCACATGCCTGTAGTCCCAGCTACTCGAGAGGCTGAGGCAGGAGAATTGCTTGAACCAGGAGGTGGAGGTTGCAGTGGGCTGAGATCACACCACTGTACTCCAGCTTAGGCAACAGAGTGACACTTTATCTCAACAACAACAACAACAACAACAAAAAGAACAAATGAAGAAGCACTTGGTGGAATCCAACCGAAGAGGACCTGAGAGAGGTATTACATTTGACCATTCCATATTCTGCCTCCTCCATCCATGAAGGGATGGGCAGTTTCTCATCTCAGATGAAAATGCTACTCATCAACGTGTTGACAAATAACACTATCATTTTGTAACTGCCCAAAAGGCTCCTTTTGTCACCGCCCAACAGGTTTCCTGCTGCCTAGACAGAGCCAATTCATCAAGACAGGGGAATCTCAATAGAGAAAGAGTAATTCACATAGAGCTCTCTGTATGGGAGACTGAGTTTTATTATTATTCAAATCAGTCTCCCTGAGCATCCAGGGATCAGAGTGTTGAAGGATGATTTGATGGGTGAGGGAAGGTCAGTAAATCAAGAGTGCTGATTGGTTAGATCAGAGATGAAATCCTATTATTTGAACTTTGAGTTGAAGCTATCCTCCTGCACAGAGTCAGTTCCTGGGTGGCAGCCACAAGATCAGATGACCCAGTTTATTGATCTGGGTGGTGCCAGCTGATCTATCAAGTACAGGGTCTGCAAAATATCTCAAGCACTGATCCTAGGTTTTACAATAGCGATGTTATCCCCAGGAACAATTTGGGGAGGATCAGAATCTTGTAGCCTCCAGCCCCATGACTCCTAAACAATAATTTCTAATCTTATGGCTAATTTGTTAGTCCTACAAAGGTAGTCTAGTCCTCAGGTAAGAAGGGTGTTTTGGGAAGAGGCTGTTATTGTCTTTGTTTTAAACTCTAAGTTCCTCCCAAAGTTAGTTCAGCCTATGCCCAGGAATGAACAAGGACAGCTTGGAGTTTAGAAGCAAAATGGAGTTGGTTAGATCAGATCTCTTTCACTGTCTTGGTTATAATTTTGGAATGGTAGTTTCAATTTTAACATAAAGCATATATGCTTGCATATGACAATACTTTTATGTATTAATTGCCAACATTTTTGAGCATGTGTACCAAACCCAGTTTTTGTTTGTTTGTTTGTTTCAGAGTTTTGCTCTTGTTGCCCAGGCTGGAGTGCAATGGCACGATCCCGGCTCATTGCAACCTCTGCCTCCCAGGTTCCAGCAATTCTCCTGCCTCAACCTCCCGAGTAGCTGGGACTACAGGGATGTGCCACCACACCTGGCCAATTTTGTATTTTTAGTAAAGACGGGGTTTCTCTATGTTGGTCAGGCTGATCTCGAACTCCTGACCTCAAGTGATCCGCCAGCCTTGGCCTCCTAAAGTGCTGGGATTACAGGCATGAGCCACCGTACCTAGTCGTAAAATACAGTTTTAAGTGTTTATACATCAATCCTCACAACAACTCTATGGAGGCATACTATTATTACCCCCATTTTATAGACAAGGAAACTAGATTGCATAGAAGTTAAGTAGCTGAATGGGATTCATTTGTAGTCATTGAAATACAAAGAAAAAAATTAAAAAAAAAGACTTGGGATTGAAACATACATAGTCTGACTCGAGAGTGTGTGCCACTAACCTGTCTCTCAGAGGAAGGTCCATTAGGATTGATGACAGTGTAGAACTATAGTACTAAGTCTGTTCTTCCTATATATATGCTCAGAAGGCCCTTTCTTCCAATGACAAAACCTTATTTGTACCTGTCCCATGTCTCCCTTTTCTTTCAGTTGCTGAAGTACTTGAAAGAATGATGATAGATAATATTTGTATGTGTTGTTCCAGTATGGTTTTCACCGTGCCTCCATGTATCTTCTAATTTGTTCATCTCACATTGTAGGGATGGAGCAGGTATCATCATTGCCATTTTAAATTTACAGATGAGGAAACTAAGGTAGATCTATTTTAAGGAATGTATCTCAAGTTACATAACTGGTAAATGGTAGACTAGAACCTTGGACTCTTGATTCAAGATTTTTTGCTTCCAGTACACCACATTTGTTTCCTGTACGTACTCTTCCTTTCCTTCCCTTTTTGTAATCTGGTTTTTCACTCCCAAGTCACTCAACTAAAACTCCTACAAATTTTCCAGTTGTGGGACTATTTTTATTCATTTATTCTTTTCTTTCAACTTCTCTGTTGACTATTTCCTTCCTCTTCAGAATTCTCTTCTCTTTTGACTTCTGACTCTATATTATTCTTAAACTCCTTTTACTTTTTTGACCATTCCTCTTTGTCTTCCTCACCATATCCTTTTGCTCCCTTAGCATGTTTTCTTTCCCAGGCCTTTGTTCTTAGCCATCTGGTTTTCTTTTGCCTGCACTTGCTCCCTTAGTAATTATCTATTTCTGCAGTTTCAACACTCAATTCCATGAAGATGATCTCCAGTTCTGTACTTCTGGTCCTAATATTCTGTACTGCCAACTTGCATTCGCAGATACCTGCGTGTCTCACCAGCACCTCAACTCTAACATGCCTGCAATGGATTAAATGTTTGTGTCTCCCCAAAATTTATATGTTGAAACCCTAACTCCCTGTATGGTATTTGGAGGAGAGGCCTTTGAGAAGTAATCAGGTCATGAGAGTGGAGCCCTCATGAATAGGATTAGTCCCCTTGTAAGAGGAGCTAGAGAGCTTGCTCTCCACCATGTAAGGATACAAGGAGAAGACAGCCAGCCATCTTCAAACCAGAAATTAGGCCCTCACAAGACACTGGATCTGCCAGCACCTTGATCGTGGGCTTCCAGACATTTCTTTTCTATAAGTTTTTGGATTTAAAAAAATTCTCAGCTGGGCGTGGTGGCTCATGCCTGTAATCCCAGCACTTTGGGAGGTTGAGGCAGGTGGATCACGAGGTCAGGAGTTCAAGACCAGCCTGGCCAAGATGGTGAAACCCCATCACTACTAAAAATACAAAAATTAGCTGCACGTGGTGGCAGGTGCCTGTAATCCTAGCTAACTCGGGAGGCTGAGACAGAGAATTGCTGGAACCCAAGAGGCAGAGGTTGCAGAGAGCCGAGATCACGCCACTGCACTCCAGTCTGAGTGATAGAGGGAGACTCTGTCTCCAAAAAAAAAAAGGAAAAAATTCTGTACAGTAATCATATACTACTTTGATAATCAGACAGGGTCTTGCTTTGTCACCCAGGGTGGAGTGCAGTGGTTCAATCTCTGCTCATTGCAACGTCTGCCTCCTGGGTTCAAGCAATCCTCCCTCCTCAGCCTCTGGAATAGCTGGGACTACAGGTGGGCACCACCATGCCCAGCTAACTTTTTTGTATTTTTAGTAAAGATGGGGTCTCACTATGTTGCCCAGGCTGGTCTTGAACTCGTGAGCTCAAGCTATCTACCTGCCTCGGCCTCCCAAAGTGTTGGGATCACAGGTGTTAGCCACTACAACTGGCCAAAAAATTTAAAAACTGCCTATAATAAAAGGAAAAAAAGAAATTGTTTCATTCACTCTTTGACCATTTATCGAATGTTACCTCCCTCATGAGGTCTTTCCAGATTTCCTCAGCCAGGATTGTGCTTGATCATATCTTTGACACAGCTTGCTTGTTTTTTTTTTTTTTTTGAAATCTCTAATTGCATTAATATGTTTTAATATGTTTTTGTTGTGTATTAAGTTTGTGTGGTTATCTTACCTATTAGTCATATTTTGTGTGTATGAATGAAAAAATAACTTTATTTCATTTCAGGGAGCGGGCAGACATTCAGCCTCAGAACTTATGGAATTGCTTCTTGATGTCTGTGGCCTTGGTGACTTTGAGCACATTGAAGTTCACTGTCTTGCTCAGGGAGCGGCACTTATCCAGCATGACAATGTCGCTGATCTGGACATCCCGAAGCAGGGGAACAGGTGCCTGGACATGTTCTTGTGGTACTTCTCGAAGCAATTGTACTTGTGGATGTAGTAGAGATAGTCTCTGTGGATGACAGTGGTCCTCTGCATCTTCATCTTGGTCACCATGCCAGACAGGATCTGCCCTCAGTGGAGATGTTACCAGTGAACAGGCATTCCTTGTCAGTGTAGATGCCCTCAATAGTCTCTTTGGACCTCCTGAAGCCTAGCTTGCCAGTTTCCTTTAGCAGGATCCTCTTCTTGCTTTGAACAATGGTCAGCTGCTTGTGATAGGCATGCTCAGTCTCAATGTCCACCATCTTCTTGGCTGCCTGAGAAAAAACTAGACAATTATTATTATTATTATTATTATTTTGAGGTAGAGTTTTGCTCTGTCACCAGGCCGGAGTACAGTGGTAGTGGTGCGATCTTGGCTCACTGCAACCTCCGCCTTCCAGTTCAAGCAGATCTCCTGCCTGGGCCTCCTGAGTAGCAGGGACTACAGTTGCGCGCCACCACGCCCAGCTAATTTTTGTATTTTTAGTAGAGACGGAGTTTCACCGTGTTGGCCAGGATGGTCTCGATCTCTTGACCTCGTGATCCACCTGCCTTGGCCTCCCAAGGTATTAAGATTACAGGCATGAGCCACCACTCCTGGCCAAAACTAGACAATTTTTAAAGATTGAAAGTAAGTGTTATCTTGATTCTGTTTACGGGTAATAAATATTTCTCAGTAAATATCTGTGAAATGTATTGAGTTGAACCAAAAAGAACATAATTATGAGCTGATAGCCACTGAGTTCTGTGTCAAATTCTCTTTGTGTGTTTCATCTCAATGTTCTTTAAACTGAAGGCCATTGTCACCAAAAGCTTATGTATAATGGGCTTCTTGGCAGAGAAAGAAGTTGGAAAACAGGTCAGGAATGCTGCCTTTATTGGTCCTACTCCAACCATTAATTCCTCTTACAGGAAGTACATGTGCAGCAGGAAGCCTGAGAGGCAGAATAGAGCATTGGAGTATTATTCAGTGAAAGAAAACATGAATCCAGATCATTTGTCTGGTTTTTATAACAATGACGTCTTTCCTTTGTATGTCATCTGATTGCTAATAGTAGATATTTAAATGATCAGTATCCACTAATAATAAGTACAGGGCTGGGCGCGGTGGCTCACGCCTGTAATCCCAGCACTTTGGGAAGCGAAAGCAGGTGGATCACCTGAGGTAGGGAGTTCGAGAACAGACTGGCCAACATGGAGAAGCCCCATCTCTACTAAAAATACAGAAACTAGCCAGGTGTGGTGGTGCATGCTTGTAATCCCAGCTACTTGTGCGGCTGAGACAGGAGAATCGCTTGAACTGGGGAGGCGGAGGTTGCAGTGAGCCAGAGGTTGCAGTGAGCCAAGATCGTGCCATTGCACTCCAGCCTGGGCAACAAGAGTGAAATTCTGTCTCGAAAAAAAAAAAAACTAAGTTGAAGCACTAAGAGATTCCTAAATGAGACACCTTTAAAAAGTTAGGTTCTAGGCCGGGCGTGATGGCTCATGCCTGTAATCCCAGCACTTTGGGAGGCCGAGGTGGGTGGATCACGAGGTCAGGAGTTCAAGACCTGCATGGCCAACATTGTGAAACCCCATCTCTACTAAAAATACAAAAGTTCGCCGGGTGTGGTGGTGGGTGCCTGTAATCCCAGCTACTGAGGAGGCTGAGGCAGGAGAATTGCTTGAACCTGGGAGGTGGAGGTTGCAGTGAGCCGAGACTGCCTCAGCCTCCAAGTAGCTGGGACTACAGGGCGCCCTGCCCACCACACCAGCTTAATTTTGTATTTTTTCACAGAGACGAGGTTTCACCCATGCTGTCCAGCGCTGGTCTCGACTCATGACTCACCATGTGATCAACCCACCCTGGGCCATCCCAAAGGTGTTGGAATTACAAGGTGTGAGTCCACCATCGCCCAGTAACCACTATTCTTTAACCGCTTATATACGTACTTACTCCAGTCCAAAGGTTCCTGTCTACGGTACTTTTGAAACCTTTTTTTTAAATCCTTCGTAATACCCCTTTGGGGACGTTGGGTACTCATTAATCCTCATCTTCACATAGATGGGAAACTGAGGCATAGGTCATTCAGCTCTGAATAGGAGAACTGGAATTTGAACCCAGGTCATCTGGCTCTACAGTTCCTATGCTCATAACTACTGTCCTTTTCGAATTATTGAATTTGACCATCCTGGGGGCTAAGACCAACTGTTTCTGATGAAATTCAAGAGAATTCGCCTTTAGAGATTAGTCGGTGTAATGTTCCCTTCCTTTTGATATTTCTTCGACATCTTTGTGCTTGATTGCAGGAGTTCCTTTTCCATGTTTCATTGAGTTTGGATGGTGAAACTTGCAGATAGGAATGGAGTACCTTTATCTGTGGGTGCTTTGGGTTTACTTCGGGGAGTCACAAGCTTTTTGGCTTCCTGGCAGCAACTGGAAGAAGAATTTCTTTAGGGGCCCCCGCCACATAATAAATATACTAACCAACTAATGGTAGCTGATGACGCTAAAAAAAAAAAAATCGCAAAAAACTCATAACTGTTTTCAAGCACGTTC